CGATCTCCAGTGATCCGATTCAAACAAATATATAACCATTCGATTCGTCTTGACTAGACAAATCGAATGATATATATTATTTTTTGAATCGGATCACTGGCGATGGAGATATTACATCCTAAATTGACCGATTCATTTTTCTGGCGATCAATTTATAATGAAAAATCGATCACTTTAGGACATAATATCTCGACGTCCAGAGATCCGATTTGAGCAAAAAAAATACTGCCATTCGATTTGTCTAATCTAGAAAAATCAAATGGTAGTATTTTTGCTCAAATCGGATCTCTGTACGTCGAGATATTATGTCCTAAAGTGATCGATTATTGTATTTGATCATGAAAGTTTATGAACATTCAATACCCGATATAGAAGCATCATGATCAGCATTTGTAATGTTCTTTATGCTCGGAAAATTTCAGAACATTACACATGATTTGTGGAAAATTATGGGAGGTCCGTTACTTTTGACGAGCACTATATATATATATATATGATTAATATTCACAAATTAGCGATTAGAACCGGATGCAGTTCACTCGGATCAAAAAAGGTTCCACGGTTTACATGGGTGTTTATATACACTAGGTTTTTGTCCAATTTAAATTCTAAAATGGTTGAACTTCATTAATATTTTAAATGTTTTATTTGCTATTAATTTGCGTTTCGATTGCTAATTTCAATAGCATTATATCCAGATTTGTGCAATCCGGGTGAAATTTTGATTATATAGCCAGGGTTTAACCCGATTTCAAAGGTCACGGATATCCGGCGCATCCAAGTCGGCTATGATCACTAAACTGGACTCATAAATTTCATAAATCCAGTTTAGATCAGTACAATAGGATTTAGCATCTGGACTAAGTTCAATGACAAACTTACTCTGAATATCACTTCTACATATATGGCCGAATAACGATCTGTTTTAGTGTCATAATTAATATACTAAATACATGTAACGACAGAAAAAATTTATCGTAACACAATTTATATAATCTACCGTACCCCCTTGTAAAAATTTGAACCAAAATTTAGTTCAATTTTTTTAGTAAATTCAATTATTTTTTCTGTAAATAATTAAATTAGATTTCACTATGCGAGTTTTTAAAAAATTTAGTTACTGGTTTAACAGTTTTAAGGTTAAATTGAGGTTTAAATTTTATATAAATGGGGATACTGTACAGAGCGCTTTACGGTACGTATTATCGTTATAAATTAATGAAATGATGATTCTATTAATAAAATTTACTATATATTATATAGCGAACTCATAATAAATTTAAAGTTCATTATATAATGAATTTAAGTTCATTATATCACGAATTCGTATAAAATGTTCGTTATACAGCGTTGACTGTATTAAGATTTGTTCTTCATTGATTCTTATGTTCGTTCGTTCGTTCGTCCTATTCTTGTTAGAAACAACATCAATTAAATATAATAAATTTTGTATTTTAACTTTAACTTTAATTTCAATTCTTAATACAAAAAATAAGGAATTCCGTATCTTACCAAAAGTAATCGTAGTCGCAGTCCGTGACATTCGTCACATTGAGAGACTTTGTATTAATATTCTACAATGCAAATATTGAAAACAATAAACTTTAATCTTAAATCTACTGTTGAAATGTTTATTTGTTTGACATAAAAGAATCTTTCAAAATCAAAGATCGATAAAAACTATACCTCGTACATATCTAGCTGTTTAAAAAAGAAATAAGTATTGCAAGTAAAAACGAATCAAACATAACTATAATGTGCATGTTCTTTGTTTACTGCACAATATGTTTTTATTTTTTTAATTCTGTCCATTCATCTCACTTTGAGATCCCGAGTGCTTCATCTTTGTTTGCACGAACATTTTCAAGTACGTAAAGATTAAACAATGACATTATTTTCAGATGTTGCATATAACTGATCAATAGGAAGCTTTGTTGAACTTCTTTGGAATCCCGCTTATTCATAATTAAAAAATACATGTAGATTGAAACAAAATTGTTTATATTTTAAGTTATACATGTACAAAATCTTTCAAATGCACATTTAAAGAATAACAAAATTTAAAATTGTCAGTAGTTTCTTAATATTTTTAATGTATACATAATATACGTACTATATAGCACATAAATAGTAAAGCGAAAAGGCAATCGAGTTAAAATAGTGCAAGAACTACACTTATATACTAGACTAGCCATATTTGGAACCCTCGTTACATGAAATTCCTTGTCTATACATGCATATCCCCATGCGTATATCGATATAGTCAAAGTCCACAAGATACGCCGGCATTACTACATAGTTAAAGTATTCAATACATGTACATTATTTGCTCGAACCAATTGGATCACACTGCGTACGAACCTCTTTATAACGAACCTCGAATTTTATATTAGTTCGTTTTAGAAAGAGTAGTGGGCTCTATAAAAAACAGTGATTTTATATAACGAACTTTTTTTACGAATAGAACCATCAGTTCGCTGTAGAGAGTTGACGGTATACGTTAAGACGTACATGTACATGTATTTGGTACATTAATAGAAAATGGCCATTTCGCCGAAACAGATATGCCTATATTAGTAATTTTCGGTGTAAACGGCGCCGTTTGACTGTCACCATAAGATTAATAAAATCGATCTTGCATACAATGATAAAATTAGAGTTGCAGATGAAATAACATGGTAATTACCTAGTACTGTACGTAGTTGAGAAATTCTAGATACATGTACGTACAATGCAGGCTTACAGTTGGAGATTCAGCACAGACACACATTTTTCATATATAACATCTGTTTCTTTGTTATCTGGATTTAGCTTTTTTCTCATTATTCGTTTTCATCGATATTTTTGAAATGATTAGATTATATAGTCAATTGACAATAACGATAAGAAAAAGATATTAGTATTGGCTTTTGAAGAGAAAAATTAAATTGATAAATAAGGATATTTTTCATTGTAAAAACCATTATCGTTATCACTAACCCAAAGCTCCGTAAATCTCTAGCGGGGTAAAATTTGATCTTATTCACAATTAGTGGAACTAAAAATGGGTGTCGCAACTAGTTTCAACCCATCTTTATGGTATACATTCTTAACTATAAATGCACTCCTTAAGACATAAAAAGGAAGGCTAGTCATAATTGTTTAAGCGTTATGTAATTCGATCTTTTTAAGAATTTTTAATACGTATTAACGTTAATCCCTTTTTCACACTTCTAAATTTATATATTTATTTAGTCATGGAGTGAGAACAAAATAAATAATAATGATAAACTTACCCAAGTAAATCTTTTAATTGATTACTACATATATACATGTACATGATATACATGTATTTTACATGTATTTATATACGTACATAATCATAAATAAAATTATGTTGTTGTTCCAACCGGAAAAGGGCGACAAAGGGAGCTAACTATTCGTTTTCTTGCGGCACAAATATTATATATTGTTTGCTGACCCGGTCCTATTATTATTTATCAATTTGTATGTTTAAATGCACTATTTATATAATACGATTTACACTTTCTATTGCATTTCCATATATAAAGAGAAGGGCAAAGGTAAAATCGAAAAAAAAAACATCATAAAACCAATAATTGCATAAGAAAATCTCTCATTCTTTCGGCACCGGAATTTGTCGTCCCTTCGGCTTTTTTTCTTAGTCTGATAATTTGATTTTCATAATTCTGCTTTGTTTATTGTGTTTGTCCCTTGCTTCGAGTAAAGATCCTCCTTAATTTTCTCAATATTGATCGTTAAAGCAAGATTGACAAAATAAAGCCAACTTTTTGCTCAATAAAATAATTGAGTATTAGTTAATTCTTGTGGAATAACAAAAATAGAATCAAAACAATCACCTGTTCCTTTATCATATTTACCATTAACTTTAAATCTTCCTATTAATACACGTGACATAATATATAACTACTAAAATCCTCCGATTTTCAAATCAATCAATAACTAGATATCATTATAATTCTCTTTGTTACGACAAACATAAACTTCTTCAATATGCCACCAATTCGCCAGCATCAACAACAATTGTCTAACGTTGAAGCAATAGAAAACATTCCGCCAAGTTCATCTTCTGATCCAATCGATAATAATAATAAAGATAAAAATCGACGAGGCAGACGTTCACCGAGCATAAATACAAGAGCGTCAAGGGTTGGCGTAACTAATTTTATAAATGTGATTAAAAATTTACATCCTGGTGAATCGAGAAATCATTTCCCAATTACGCAAGAAACACTTCAAGAATATATTGATTCAAAAAGAAAAGCATTGATAAAAGCAGGATCACTCGAACAATATCTTCAACACATGCAAGCTTACAACATCGCATTAGGTTTCGGTTGGCAGGGTCAAGTCTTCGGTCCTATAATAAAGAAAGCATTAGACGAACTAAGAGCTCATGAAGAGGAAATTCAGAAAAATTCAATAATTCATCACCATAATCATCTTCATCAACCACAAGTTACGTTTGCACCCATCAACTCTATAGAATATAATACAACTGCTGCGGCTGCTAATACGATAACTCCTGCTGCGGATGTTATAAATATGTTGGTAGGAATGGATATTGATAATAGTAACAATAATGCAGCAAGAAAAATGATTTATGATACCGAATCTCAGATTCAAAACCATTTGTCTTCTTGTAACGGTAAATAATTAATCAATAAATCAAGTTCTTATTCCATGAAATCAATTATAATAATTCTAATTCTAATTTCAACCAAATAAAAATTTAGAACAATCAAAAACAGTTTCAGTAGTTTGTTTCGACACCACATCCATTCCATATGTAATTATGAATCAACAAGCAAACATGTCTCTTAGCAATTTAACCTCTGCCGATTCATTACAGAATTTGCATCAACTCTATGCGAATATTGCATCATTAAACTTGCCATCTCAATGGAATACCGTGGATACTTCTCATTTATATTATCGAATTGGTAATTCACAGCATTTCGGATTAACCGATGGATCAGCATTCGATTGTTTCTGGAAAGCATTTATTGATAATATTAACGAACGTGAGAAGCCGGCCCAATTGGTATTATATAAAAAACAAAGAAGATTGCATAATGCAGGTAATTAGTTCGACTAATTAAATCTGTGGTTACTCAAATGTTTACCTTTTCTTTATTTATTAATTTATTTTTATTTCAAAGCTAACTACTCTAATAAAAATCATAATAATGAACGTCAACCTCAAACTCCAGAATCATCAACCAGTGCATCTTCTCCCTCTTCAAGGAAAATCCACACTTTTATCGGATCGACATCAGGTGAAGATTAATCATGATTGTTGGTCAATCTATGAACAGTAAACGAATCCTAACGCTAACCCTCCTACAATTGTTTACTATATTTAGAAACAATCGTAAAGTCAGTGACAATAAGATCCAAGATAAAAATATATAAGCAAAAAATTGCTATTGGTGAGAACACAACCTTTGCATCCTTGATTGCTTTCGCCACTAATAAGGCAATACCACCAGCGGGAAAACAATTTGTGATCAGATCCATTGATGAGACACTCGAGTATATGCCTGAAGATTTGGTAAAAGTAGTATTAACAGGAATTGAACATGCAGACCTTCTTGTTATGTTGGAAAATGTTGGACCTATTGATTTTGATTATTTTTAATTATGAAATGAATTCATACCTGTGTGTGCGAGATCGAATTATTGTTGATGCAATTCATATTTTGTATATTTTTCTTAATTTCTAATTCAATTATCATTTCTTTAATTTGTAATATACTCTATTTTGAGAGATTAATACTAATCTTCGCCTGCTTATGATTTAATTTATAAAAACATATTATTTATATGCTTTACATTATACGCTTTTTCATATGGACCATACAAAATATCATTAAACCCAATCACCAATACTAAACTAAATATAAGCATTAATATATGTATCTACGATTTTATTTATTTATTCAATTAAATTAATTAAACTAGTAATTTTTTCGGAATAAATCTCAGTATAATATAAGAAAATTCCTTTTATATTGTTAATAAATTCGCATAAACTTACTATACAGAATTCATAATTTTAACTCTAATACTCTAATAAGTATTATCCCATAGAAATTACCGAAATCTTCCATGTCGCGAATATACATGTGAAAATCCTTTTGTTAAGTCAAATGTATAATATTTATTATAGGTAAAAAAATCTATACCAATTGCTTTTTTTGAAATTTAGATAAAGTGTGGGTACAGTGCAGGACACTTAAAGACGCCAAGACATGATAATAAATAAAAAGGATATATAAAATGTCGTCTCTTTCACCCGTATACCTCACGGGTATCTCAAACAACGTCTCACAATATATCGAAACTCAAAACTGTGTTCCTTCTCAGCAAGAATTCAATGAAACTTCTCCTGGTCTTGTCTCCAAACGTACC